GGGGGATTTGTATTGTTGTTGTTGTTCACTCAAATTTCTAATGCCCTGATGCCTCAGATGGTTGTCAGTAGTAGTTGCTCTAGTGGTCCATAAAAAGGAGTTGGGGATGGTGAGTGGTGCTGGAAGAAAATTGGATTTGAAGTCTGGTAATTTCTCCATGTGGAGCTAGTTGAGATCAACTGTTTCATTTTTAAAAGTAGCACGTGGACAGGATGTTAACTGTTATATTGGTTAATGTTTGTAAATCAAGACTATTTAGCTGGAATCAAACTCTTCTTTTACGGGCAAGGCAAAGTGCAAAATCATAACTTCATTAGTACCAATCTGATTATTATACTTTGGCATAATTCAGGTGCAGATTTAATTAAATGATCTCTTTGGATGACTGCATACATACAATGATGCCTCTGTGTTTAATTGGACAGTGCTCAAAATAATTATTTTTGCCTTTCCACTCACGCTGAGACACAAAGTCCACTGATGTTATCACTCCTCATCTAAACGCTGCCAAATTTTGAAGCCACAATATAATATATAACATTATATTTATGTGTATTTGGTTGTAGGTTGGTTTTTTTAAAAGAGCCAAATCAGAAAAAGGTACACCTGTTGGTCATTGACCTTCTCTTAAACATACTGTTAAATGAGAGAAAATCCAGTCTCCCCAGCTTTAAAAAGTAAAGATAGCTGTCCTGGTGTTCTTCTGCTGAATGTTCGCAACTGCTACATATTATAACATACAAATTAATGAACATACGAAGCACAGGAGTTTGTGAGAACTTTTAGCACTCATTCCTTTTGCGCCTCTTATTGAGTATGCTACAAATCGAATGCAGTGTGCAGTATCCCTTGTCTTATCTTTCATTTTTCTTATTCCTCAGATCCATTTTCTTCCAGTTCAAGATGCGTTTTGATGGTCACAAATTGGCTGTCATAAACACTGATGACAAGGGTGGGGCAAAGATCACTGTGCAGGTTCCAGAAGAGTATGAGAACGACCTGGTCTTCTTTTATCAGCTCAGATTTGCAGAGAAAGAAAAGTCCAGAGAGACAACATATCGGGGCTCTCCGTTAGAAAGATTTGTGTTTCAAACAATGGTGGACAATTCTGTTACATTCAGCGTGCATGTGCCTACTCCGGGGCAATATTTCATGGAGATTTTCGCTAACAAAATTGATGACAGTGGGCGAGTGGAAGAGAACAATGCAAATGTGGCCCCTTTCAAGCTGAAGTGTGCGTGCAAATTCAAAATAATTTGTGAGAACCTGTCCGGTAAAATGCACCCTCTGCCAAACTGTGCTGCTGGGGAGTGGGGTCCTAAAAAGGCTCAGAGGCATTTTGGCATTACGCCTTTGATGTTACCCTCTTCAGAATTTGAAATGGAAAAAGTAGGGATGCTGACAGTTGAGGACAATTTTGAGCTTAAGTTTCGCACACCACACCCTTACCAGTTTGTGGCAAAGCTCAGGATGAATCACGTAGAAAGTAAGACATTAGATCCATTTGTGAGTTTGTCCAGTGAGGGTTCAGTGTTGACCGTCTATGTGTCGTTACCTCAGCCAGGACAGTTTGGTTTGGATATCTTCGCTAGGCCTAAAGGTGCCGTGGACACAACGACTTTGTCCCATGCTTGCAAATACCTCATCAACTGCACTAAAGTGGAGTCTCAAGTGTACATTCCCAAAGTCCCGACAGAATCCAAAAGGTCAAAGTTTGGCCCAACCCCAGCCTTTGACGAATTAGGGTTGAAATTGGTGTCCCCGAAAGAATCCAAGATACGAGTGGGCAAGACAAATGTTGCAGCTGTTGAGGTTCAGGTTCCATCAAAGATTGTGCTTTCATATCAGTTTCTTCGTGAACCAGATGAAGATAACAGAGACTATGTGACACAGTCTCGTGAAGCAAATGGCACTGTAAAGTTTAATGCCACCATGCCGAAAAAGGGAAATTACATGCTGTGTTTGTATGCACGAAAGGAAAACAGTGACGACAAGTCCGCACCAAATGTCTACAATTTCTTACTTCAATACATGCCTGAGGCGGGTGATACAAATGGAACAGCTGATAAGCCACCAGAGAAAAAGTCGTCTTCCTTTTTCAAGAAATCGCTTTTTAAGAAGTCAGACAGCAAAGACAAACTGGCCAATGACAAACTTTCTGATCGATCTTCTGACAAATCCTCTGATAAGTCAAATTGAGAACCCTAGAAAAATGAGCAGGTTGGAACACTTTCTTCTTTCAAGAAGTCAGTTGTGCTTTGTTTCTTGACACTTTTTCGAAGGTAGCATGCAGTATCGTCAGTTCAGAACGGTTTTAACTCCAAGGTACTCTGTGTCTTCGTGCATGCTTTCTTCAGTTACGATAAACTACTTGAAAGTAATCGACCATGAAATATAAGCATAGAAAAAAAAATAGGTTTAAATGTGAAGAAGTATGTCACTTATACAACTTTTTTTTCAAAATAGATCTATATATTATATGTGTACAACTTCAATAACCAAAGATAGCCTTAATGCACCTTAACTTTTGGTGTTATTGACCATATCTCTGAATGGGGACGTAAAAAGTGGTGTTTACCCAACCGAATGTCAGAAATGTTATCAGCCAGCCCTCTCCTTCCGTATTCACTAATTTGTAGTCTATCTCCATTCCAGACTTTCTTTCTTTGTTTCTGCATCCTGCTTTGGCGACCTAGCGTATGGCCCATACTTAGTTTCTTTTTTCTAGACATGCAGTCAGAAGGCAGAACACGTTCTCAGCTGATTGTCCTCTCCCTCCCCCATCTATGTCAAAATATTTCACTTGCTGGTAGTCTCATTCGGTTTGCACCATTAGCACAGTTAGTATCATTCTGGACTATGGAGGCATGATCCTAGGTTCAAATCCTTATATAAAAAAGATTTGAATTTGAGTTGATTCAGCAGTTTCAGTGGCTCTCAGACATCTTTTCTCACTTGCAACTGAGATAAAGGTTCGCAAATAACCTGTGTCGAAAGTAACGTTGAACTGGAACTATATCATTCCAAAAGACAAAGCCAAATACGGTACTTTAAGTTTTAGTGTCATTAATTGGCAAGGTTCACTTTTTAGTACAGAGACTTAAAGAAATTCCCCTGCTGACCCTGTGCTTGTATTTGAATTATAATCTTTAATATGATTTCTTCAAGTACTGACATGTCAAGGAGAATATGAGTATTCTTTTCTAAAAAGTAAATGCTTGTATTTCTATGCAAAACTTTGGCTATTCATGGGATTTTTATATTTAAACTGCATTCATGTACATTGTTTCACACTGAATCATTTATTTTCATTTATGCTGTGCTGCTTACAACTTAACTGTTTGTAATGGAAATGTAATTGAAGTCAGAGTGACTGAGAGGCTGAGATTTCACATTGTCCTTCAGGATATTCTTCTTTTCTGGTTTTGTTTTGTTTTTTGTGGTGTTATGTTATATTTGTTGTTTTGATTTTAAGAGCGTGCTGTTGCAGTGATAATGATTTAGTGCTTGCAAAAACAAAAGCAAAGAGAGAAAAACAAACATTTGAGAAGGAACTTGTACTAACTGATCATCACTGTGCCAGAGTGCTTCCCAGTCACATAAACTCATTTGTTGTACTTTCATAAGCATACATAGGCCATATCAATGGTGGGTTTCACATTGTGGATGTTACAGTCGTGGGCTTTTTTATTGCTAGACAGGACCCTTGATTGACAGGTCTACACAAAACAGAGCGTGAAAGGAGGCAAAATAGGTACATGTACAAAGTAGGAAAATATGCAACCCTTTGGTTGGGGAGATTTAGGTATGTGAGTTTTACCTTGTGAGTGGATGAGTTGTGCCCCATTTTATACGACAGCAGACTATTTATATCCACCAGTCTGCTCAGGGTGTGTCAAACTCAAAGTCGGAGACATGGAACATAAGTGGAAGCTTGATCAATGCCACTTTCTTGTTCATGACTTCTGCAGCATCTCCTGGGTGATGGAGTAATTTAAGAGTTGAAAGAGAGACCCCTCCATAATAGCTGCTCTTTTACCTTGCTTACCCTTATTACGGTACTTGTTTGGGTTTTTTAGTTTGTAATTTTGTTTTCTGCTTGTTGACTTTTTTTTTAAAAAGCTTGTTGTTTTAAAGAAATGGATGAGTGGGAGAAAAGGAAGAGACATATTATTATTTCTCTCTTTCTGGGAGTCCCATTATCGAGACACTTCAGTTTGGTTATGCACCATGTACTGTGTTTACTTCTCGCTTCTGGTACTTGTTTTTGCAACCTGTGCTTGTTATTGGACTGTAGTTGTCAGGTCTTCTGGAGTTTTAGCTCTGTACTGACTGGCATTTGTGGTGTAGAGGGTAGGCGCTTTGTCATTGCTCACAGAAGACCAGAGTTTGAGCCCTGTATGGGGAGAACTCTTTTCAAGTGTTTCGGTTTTTCTCACGCTGGGATGTTATTTCCCTCTCAGCCTGGGTTGGCCTTGACAACCGCCTCCTATATAATCTAAATTTTGTCGATGGAAACATAAAAACACTGCATTGTGTTTGCTGATTCTCTCAGACCTTGTTGACCTGGACAAAACTTCAGAAACAGAACCAAAGGAATACTGTTCTTCTTCCCATTCCATTTAAAATGTGATTTTTGTTTGTTTTGTTGTTGAATTGTGCTGTTACATATTACTGCCCACAAGCATTTTACTTGTAAAGGAGGAAACAGTTGAATTACGCTAAGATGCAAATCAAAATATAAAAGCCTTTCAAACTAACTTCATAGCTCGCTTTATATAAGTAGTCTAGGCCTACATGTATTCGTGTGCCATTGAGGTATTCGTCTCCATCTGGGGTTACGTGATGGCTTCCGTACAAAATGAATGTGCACCCTTTGCCACATTGGAATTGATGATACATGTAATTACGTTTAATCTAGCCAATACATGTACAATGCTGATTAGCACATATCTGTCTGTATACTGTATTGATATGATAATAACATACATGAAATTACAAACAAGACTAGTGTGTGAAAGAGACAACAGTGGTGCAAACTCTGTCTCAATCTCGAAAATAAATTTCATCCAATAGATTTTTTTTTTTTCAGAGCCAATATGGCTGGAATTATAGCCTAGGCCGTATATGAAGCTGTTTTTAGTTTTAGAAGGTTTTTACAGCAACATTTGTTCAAATAAGTGCTGAAGATTAGAAGTGTTACTAGAGTGTAACAAAAGCAAAAAAGAAGGAGGAGAGATAAAGCCGATAGCTATTTGATAGGAAAGAAGGAGCAAACCACAACAGAGCACCTGCCAACCACCCAGTAAAAAAACTGGGTATGTCTTGGTTTGAAGAACTGCATGAGAGAAACAGATGAGACACGACTACCCCCCTTGAAAAATGTGCAGAATTTTTACTGGCTTGTCTTCCCTCTCACAGGCTGATGCAAAAAGTTATAACTTACCTAAACTGATTTTTGGACTTACATACATGTATGCCTGTTATGTGATGTGAAAAGCCTTTCCTGACAGCCCCCCCCCCCCCCCATACCATCCTCCAGTCTTTTTTCATACTTTCCAGTTGATGGAAATGTGTATACATAATTATTTAACCATTCTACTGTGAGATAAGATTACTAAACCTTGCAAAATAGAAAATATTGTTTCTGAAGTAATGTACTTTTGTCTTTCAATATCGGTACATTCCAGAAAACATTATGCATTAATAATAATTATTTTGGCCTTCTCTGAGTGCTTAATGGTATTGCCATGTGTACTCTCTGTCTGTGAGCCTTTTAAGAATTTGAATGTTCTCTGGTTAACCTATTATGGTGAATGCCAATACTCTGTAAACTGGTACTACTAAGTTTATTCAGGATTATGTATCGTTTGTTATATGTTAAGAAATTCTATGGTCTGTGCTTGCATCATGTATCATGTACAAGTAAAACAATCTATATACATACACTTACACTTCTCATTCATATGTGTACATATATGTGTATATATTGTGTGTGCATGAGTGTATGTATGTATGTGAATGCTTCATTTGTGTGTATGTGTACGTATGTATGTTGGAAGGAATACACACACGTGCATATATTTATGATATTGTAGGTCTACACACACACGCACACACACACACTCACATATATGTATATATTATGTATGTGTGTGGTGTGTGTGTATGCATGTGCGTCTGTGTGTGTGTGTGTGTGCGTGTGCGTGTGTATGTGCATGTGTGTGTGTGTGTGTTTGTGTGTGTGTGTGTGTGTGTGTGTGTGTGTGTGTGAGCATGAGCATACTTGCATGAGTCAAATGCTGAAAGTTTATATTTTTATGAAATGCATGCAATTTCAACATCACTCTCAGAGGTGGAACCTGCTAAAATTTCTTTTGGTAGATACTCTTAATGTGTACATGTGGAACATACAAAAGAATTCAGTACCTTTAAAACACTCAAGAGCATTCTGCTCAAAGTAACATAGCAAGTAGTGGGGTTATGTAGTGATCATATAATATGTTTGGAGAGTCTGGATTCTTACCGCTTTTTGTACCAGACAAAGTCAGAACTACTGTAGGCCTACTCATGATACAGATGTATGAGGTAGGCCTACAGGTTCAAAGTACAGAAAGTGTTCCTGTGCTAACATGGAATGAAATAAGAAACCCATGAAGGGAAGGATGCGCTTTATGCTGTAGCAAGCTCCCTTTTTTTTGCTTCTCCCAAAATGAAAAGTAATTTTACTGTTTTGTTCCGCTTTATTTAAAAATGAATAGATCTTTGCTGTAATAAAGCTTTTGGCCAGTTATGCACCCCAATTACATTGTGCTGGTTTAACCAAGTTTGTTCATTAATATATTATATATATATATATATATATATATATATATATATATATATATATATGTGTGTGTGTGTGTGTGTGTGTGTGTGTGACGCATCGTGGTGAATCAGACACTTGTCAAAATAATGAAATCGAAGAAATAGGCATTTTTCTGCCAGTTTGGCAATTTTTATCAAATTTTTGTATTTTAAATATACACCTTTTATGTCCATTAGAAAACACACTGCCGTGTGGATTTAACTGAAAATCATTGCTCAAAGGCGGACAAAATGTAAATTTCCAGTTTCCAAGGACACTGAAGCTTTGGAAGTCATCAAACTTTGACGGCCATTTTTTCACTAATTTTAACTTTGACGCCAAGCGACTCCCACCTCCTTCAAACTTCAAACGCAAATATCTTGACGTCTATTTAAAATTGATGGGCATTTTTTCCACCAAATTCAAGACTAATGAACAAGCTTTCAGATAATACCAATAGCTCCACATGCCCGAAAATTGACGAGCGCCTGGTTCCACCGCGTCGTGACACATAAACAATCATTGGCTTATTACTATGATACCGTAGACCTCTCTCCCACTTTTTCCCCTTCCACAATGGTACAATACACATTTACTGCATATTTATTTCCCTTTCAACCCCCCCCCTCCCCCCCACATTTTATTACTTTGATGGGCATTTTTTCCACCAAATTCAAGACTAATGAACAAGCTTTCAGATAATACCAATAGCTCCACATGTCTACCATGCTTTTTCCCAGCCCTATGTAACCTTCATTGTGTTAATGTGCATTAAAAAATGATACCGTAGACCTCTCTCCCACTTTTTCCCCTTCCACAATGGTACAATACACATTTACTGCATATTTGTGTATGTCTTTCTTCTCTTTAAGGGCATTTTATTACTTTTAAAGTAAATGAAGGCCATTTACAGCATTGCTTACGTCCATCTTGTCCCCATACACATGTGGAGACTACAGGGGGGAAAATGACAGTAGTCACAAACTGAAAATCGTGAGGGTACTAATTTTGAACAGTTGTTGACTCCTAGCTGTATTTCTGTTCAACTGTTGGTTCATTATTGTTGCTAGATTTCCCATTCAACAACACTTAACAATAAACCACCAGTCAAACAAATATGAAGTTATGAGTCCAAAAGCTTTTAAAATTTGGCACCCTCACAATTTCCAGTTCGTGACTACCATCGTTTTTCCCCTGTAGTCTTCATGTACTTTTAACACTTGTGAAAAAAAAACATTTTCTGCCCACAACATTATTAAAATTAAGACAATTTTAAAAGGAGGTGGGCCATGTCGATCCTGCCTTGCAGTGTGAGATACTTCCCAACACAGAGATAGAATTTTTTTTGTTGAAACTACCATTCCCATTTCCACAAGGGATCTGAACTCTCATCTTTTGTGCACAAGGTAGAGAGCCTATCCATTACACCATGCCCTGAGTTGTGTATGCCTTAATGCTTTAACCATTCTAGCAATTCCACTACATGTACATGATATATTATTGTAATTCCCCTTGTGTGCTGCCTTTTCATATATCTCCACTTTATTTCCCTGTTTGGTTGTACAGTATGTTTACATATATACAGAAATATGTCCATTTCGACAAATATGATGTATTTATGATGCTGGGAATTGTATTAAAAATGCTAATCATTAATGGTTTTGTTTTGATTATACGTTGTAGCTAAAGATTGAAGATGAATTACGCCCCCATTGACACGATTTAGATCACTTAGAAGGCAGGATGCTTTGACCCTGCCTGTCGGGGCCAATTCAGGCTAAGAGGGATACATGTACAACGAAGCACATATGAAAGACTGCATGAAAAAATTCTCAAGCCAACTGTTGGTTCCATGGAAATAAGAGTTAATTGAGGAAGCAAGAGAAGTAGACAATCATTACAAATTGACAAGTACTCTTTTGGACATGCTGTTCACAACATTCTCATTCATGTCTTGACACGGTGGATTCAGGCACTCTTCAAATTTTGGGCATGTGGAGTTAGTGGTATCATCTTAAACTTGTTCATTTTCTATCTTTCAGTGATAAAAATACCTATGTTAATGTATCTTTAAAAGAAGTCGCGATATTTGTGACTGAAGGAAGTGGGGTCGCCTGATTTCAGAGGTTAAATAAGAAAATAAATGAGAAAATGGCCTCCAAAGGTTGGTATTTTCCAATCCCTGAGAGTCCTTGGAAAATTTACATTTTTTGTGCCTTTAGTCAACGACTTTCAGTAAAATCCACACAGAAATGTGTTTTTGAATGGACATAAAAGCTGTTCAGCAAAAAAACCCACCAAAAATTCAATAAAAATTGCAAAACCGGTAAAAAAAATGCTAGTAGTACCTTCGATTTTATTGTTTTAACCAACGCCTGATTTCACCACAAAGTCTCACATTTATAATATGAGCATTTTCCTCTACACCCCTACTCATAGTAGTCATAGTGGTTAGGCACTTTGCTGTTAGACACTCTCATTCTCACTCTTATGAGCACCTTCAAGGAGTAGGACCTTATTAATGTCCATTTCCAATTGGACCAGATGAAGCAGGAGTAGGACAGCAATGAACACTCCTCAAGTTCAAGAATGCCCCCGTCAGCAACTCCCCCCCCCCCCAAACCAGGGCAGTGCCACTGACTGAAGTTGTCTTTAGGCCATTCCCAATGGGGTAATATTAACATGTTCCTATGCACAGTAGAATTGTAAATGGGCTGATTTATCAATGTTATGCTCATACTGTGCCGGAACAACATAGGGGGAACTGCTGCTTTTTCTTTCCTCATCCTTACTATCGTCATTTTTCCTCTACTTCTTTTGTATATTTGTCACTCTCTTGTGAACTGCTATTTCCTGGGTGCCTTGATAGTCGAAGCAGATTTTGTGCTGTTGAGGCTAGAGAGGTGAGCAGAGTAAGCCTGATTTCCCATTTGGACTTGTCTGTTGACATCCACCCCTTTGCACTCATATGACCTTATGCAGTTGCGAACGCCATAAAATTTTGCTAAAACTAAACATCAGCAACTCTAACCAGGGTTGTCAAAACAGCACACGGTGTCACTTTTCGCCTGATTCTGTTACCTTTAGTTAGCGTGACTCAGCAGCCCGCCGGAGCTCCCCGGCTCGTGGTCACGGAGCCCTGAAGCGACTTTGCCGGTGTCAGTTAGGAAGTTCACATTTTTTACTACGCTTAAAACGATATAACTTCTTCCCCATCCCACACAGCAAACCATTACGCGAATGCACTAAAAGCTCAATGTCTTGAGATTTATTCTGCGTTAGAATGGTTAATTTATGTGACTTAGTTTTTGTTCTAGACAAGTTTTTGTAGAGTACCCAATTTGTCCTATTTTAGTTTCAAACTTATGAATAAATGATGGTAAATTTTAAAAAGGCACGACAGATCTCTCCAAAATCTATGTTAAACTGACTACGAATATCATGTCTTTTACCATGAGAAATATTTTAAATCTGCGCGAGTAGTAATAGTCAAGTTATAAGAGAAGAAAGATGCACATCTGCATTTTTTAACTAAAGACAATCAGTGTTAACTCTTATTTTACTATTAAAGGCTACACCCCCAAAGTCAAATTTCGGCTCAAAATTATGGAATTTGAGTTGTAGGCATTTTTAGCTTCCTCTGCCTCGCCTACAACTATTTCATCGCCTAAGAACCCCCCAAAACCGTATTTTTTCCCATACCGGGCATGTTTGTGGCCGCCATTTCCTCATAAAGTCAGTATTTTATTTTTCTTTATCGGCCGTTTTCTCAAAACGCTAATATTCTCTATACTTTTTTGAATAACTCCACCATTTATCATCCAATCTTTATGAAATTTTCACAGAATGAAGAAAAGAGGTAATGCTAAAAATGTGTTTGTTGAATTTTTGATATATGGAATAGATTTTTGTTGGTGGTGTCTGGAGTGTGGATTTTCACGGATTTTTCGCAAACTTGAATGTTACCCCAGGAAAAAATTCATTAAAAATTTTCTAACTCGTTTAGGAATAAAATAACAGACAAATTTTAAAATCTGATGTTTGTGAACACGCATGCAAAAAAACAATCAATTTCCATGAGCGATAAGTGCGGTATTCATTACGCAAGACATGTCAACAAAATCCAATATGGCCGCCGTATCCATGGAAACGAAACTTTTTTTTATCAAATTTGATTGCGGAATCTAAGACTCCTTACTATGCTTGTTATATATGTGAAATTTGGTAAAATTCGGTCCAGTAATAAGCGAGATAGCCTTCAGGTGTAAACCCCCCCCCCTAAACAAGAGAAAGTTACTCTGCGTTTGTTCATGAATCATGCTGTGTCTGTGGCAGCCTGCATACAACTAAAAAGATATAATATAAGCGATTAAAAGCCCCCCACAAAACCGTGTAAATACATGGGTAGAGATAAACTTCTTGTTTGGAATAAAAAATGATCACAGCTAACACATTCATTCTTAGTTTTTGTGTCGGAAATATGCGCGGACACAATTAGGAATGTAAAGAAATCAGTCACATTGTCAGTTATTGCAAATGGTCATAGAAACGAAAAATAAAGCTGGAAAAGTCTTGTGCTGATTCAGTGTCCCTGGAAAGCTAAAAATTATTCTTGTTACCCAATTACGAGAAGTCATCCCTATTATTCAGTCAACTTAGAAAACCTAGACTTAGCGTTTTAAGAAAAGTAAGGAATTTCTGAAGTGTAACAGATACTGTTCGTGTATTACATTGAAGATGTATTCTGGCCCTAAAATCGATTTGTACTTTTCATAGAGAATCTTCATGGTAACTTTTATAAACTTTTGAGAATATATGCGAATATTCACGATTAAATTAGACACCTAAAGTTGTATTTGGAGGAATTACTTCATAGTGAATTGTGTGCCCGATGGATAAAGTTGCAAAACTACAGCTTCCTATTATATGCGCAGATACCATCTTTTCTGAGTATCTGCACCAATGCTATGTTGTTCATGTTCCAAAAGTTCGACAGATTTTGTCGAGGCCTATTTTTTATATTGATTTTTTTTCATTCAGGCTAGTCCAAAAAAAATTACAATTTAGCATTGCCGACTCCAGCGCATCTAACGAAATAACCAGACAAGTTACAACGTCCGTTCTTTTTTGAGTCTCAAGACAGAAATGCATGCTTTGGGTGCACTAAATGAGATTACCATAAATACAATGATACACCTAAAATTGTACGTTGAAAAGTATAAAAAAATTAAGTCGGCCCAGACAGAGCGGCGACAGGGAGCTGACCCCCGTGACCCCGACGTGATAAGGCGCCCGGCGGGGAACCCCCCGTGGCAACTAAAATTCCACTGCCGGTGCGCCGTGAGTGGAGCAGCATGACAGATTTTCATACAGCTCACATCAAACAATACACCACTCACAAGAAAAAAAACCCCCAAAAACGTCACAATGAATTCTTATTGCTTTATTCAGAATTCAAAAGGAGTAAAACATACTGTACAAATGATCACAAGTCAAAATGATGTTTCATTATTATCAAACGCTTTAATTAACGCCTGTTCCGGCATGTTTATTGTTACTGAAAGACACTCAAAAAAGCGAGAACAGTGAGAACACAGGCAAAGGTAACACTAGTTTGTGGTCTTTTGCTCTACAATATGCCTGCTACTGTCCTTTGTCAATTCACCTCAAGCTTACAGCCAGATTAAGATACTAAGCAAATGATGGCGCCATTGCATTTCTTCAAACACCCCCATTTAAGAGGATGGACTTTTCCGGCTTGTTTCCGGTTTCTCTCAAGAACTTTTTTATATGCAAAAGATAAAATCTGGTCTTGAAATTTGTACTGGAATACTCACCATAAAAATAAATGAACAATTTGTAGATGTTTCAATGTCTATACATCTTTCCATTAGTAAAACTGTCCGAGGCTTTCACCACCCTGATCTAAGAAATAAAGATCATTCTTGGACAAAAACTTTTGAGGACACAAAACTGATTTATGCTTTCCTATGATAAAAATAAGTAACGCAAGAAACACGCACGTCCTAACAGCTCCTTCAAAGAATGGCCATTACCGAAGAAGATGACATTGTTTCATATCTGTGCTTGATGAAATTAGGTGAAAGACATTTTCCAAACACATTTTCACCATCTTCACTAACTGACACAAAGAAAAGAGAAGCTTGAATGTACAGTGACTGAGCACATTGCAACCTAGTTAGACCCACTTTTCAGCATCGATAAATGAAAAACACTAAGAATAAAAACGCATCCTGAACAATGACTAAATTAAAGCGACTGGAAAAATTAATTCAACAATGGCAGCTCTAAAATAGAAAACAGGAAAGTGTAAAAACGGAATGATGAAGAAAGCAAAGGAACTTGGTATTTGTTCACAGGAGCCTAGTCATTTGTTACCGAATCCTTGATCGTACCACAAATCAGTTTGAAACCACCAAAATGTCAGCAGCATCTTTTACATCAAACTTTAACAATACAGAACATAATATATTTAATACAACATCTGCTTACCAAAACTGAGCTAGAAACAATATCATTAAGACTCAAGCAACGATTTTCTGTAACTCTGCGTATGGGTACCAAGTTTATAGTTCCAGCTGCAATCATGTCTAACATGTATGAAACATCTTATTATAAATGACAAAAGTATACAGCCCATTTCTTAGCATAAAAGTCACTCTTAAACAGACTATTCACCTTGTTAAGTCTCCACATGGTATGTACCATTTTATCCTTTGACAACCTGGATGTTCAGTAACATAACACAATAATGCAAAAGACTGTTAGAAAACATATTTTTTTATAACCGATTAGATATATAATATATTAGATTCTATCCAGGTACCCTTTAGGAATAAAAAAGCCAAGGAAAACAAAAAAATGTTCGTTTAAGTCAGTTCAATGCTCAGTGGTTTGGCAATGACAATGGAAAAGCTTGATGATCGTTTTTCTGTTCAAACATTATTACCTTTTTTTTTCTTTACACGTGTACGTTACACAATATAAGAACACAACTAATATTACTTTTGTCTGTATTAAAAAATGTTCAACACAATACAACATAAAAGAACGTACATGATTTCCAGACTTACTACACCAAAATGTTCATTCTTCATCACATCATGCATAATTACTCTTCTTTCAATCTTTCCACATTTGTCAGTCTCTTTTTCTTCATTCTCCTGCTAGATCACAGGGGGTAGCTGACCTTTGGTTCCTCAGCCAACAATATAATTGCATTTTTCTAGCACAGATAGTTTATGCAGAGGATATGCATGTTCCCTTCATTTTGAACATTCCATTGTCAAATTTTACATTTTTCCCCCCTTAAAGTTAATATGGCACTTTTTGAAAAGCTTGTTTTGTATTTTTTTCTAAGCAATCGAAAAAGCCTCATTACTAATAGATTTGCACTTCACCAAAGGGTGGTGATAGACAGGAAAACAGCAAAGACTTGTCCATATAATTCAAAAGGTGTTACTTTATGTCATTACAATGACAGCAAAAAGCTGGACTTGAAAATTTTTTATTTTGTTCTTTTCTTGACAACAATACTAACCTCTCAAGTCATAATGGTCCTTTTTTTCCATCCAAATATAAAGGGATTTGTTGGACAATGGCATAGGACCTGAAGTCCAACATTTCCCATCAGAAATAGAACAACCGTACTTTCAACGTCGGTACAATTACAATTCTCCAGTACTCTAAACATCCATACTTTATTGAGCACTTCTTCCACTCATACAAACATTCTCAGGCCCCACATTTTTCACAAACGCATATAAATATGCAAAATGACCGAGTCATAGGCTGAGCAAAGAGATTGAAAAACAGTCCAAATGTTTTCCACAGGAAACAACTGAAGGCTTGCAGGGCAAGAACTGATAGGAACATTCCAGCACGTAGTGACCAATAGAGCAAAAACAAAAATAGATCATGAGTCACAACCTGTGTAATCAAGTTTTGAGAACTTTATTGTACTACAATCAAAGAGTAAAACTAAGGGCCCAAATCTCCATCGCATTATATGACTTAGAGTACAGAAACTCCATTGCTGCTATGCTGAAACACAGTAACAGTTTTTTTACAAGGAAAGACAATCTTTGAAAAGACACCGAGGTACCCAAAGGAGAACTAACATTCAAAGTCAGCCAAAACACCTTTTTTTTCCTTCTTATAATCCTCACTCAACCCAAAAAAAATACAGCCCATTAAAAAAGAAGTAACCACCCCGGTGGAGAACGTAACAATGATGGGTGGGTATACTTGATCTTCACCTTCTTACATTTGCAGTTGATGAAATAAAATCTGAAGTTCTGAATAGGAAACAAAGATTTTGTAACTTATTTTATTATAGCTTGGTAATCATGAATTTCAATCAGCCTGACAAGACAGAAGATTACATCAATTGAGTTCTATTTTCACATGGAAAAGTCATCCACCTGCAGAATTTTTTTTTTAAAAGGCAAACCCAAATAACAAAACAACCGGTCTATGACACATGCACTTGCATCAAAATCATGCCACCTTGGAAAAATGCTTTGAGTTTACGCTGCTGTTGAGTGAATGTCAAAATTTCAGTCTCAAAAATGAGTCAGCACCATATCAGCCATGTTTTGCCAGGAACAGACAAGGGCAATGGTAACGATGAAAAGAAGTACAAGAAGCAGACAGCACCACTGTGCTTACCAGCCACAAGCCCACAGTGCAATACTTCAAGTTCAAACCTGAACTGGCACGTCAGAATACAATGTGCAGAAAAAACATTTGACCGACAACAGAGGGAAAAATTAAAAAGAGACAATTTTCAACCAGAGAATAAAACGGTTTTCCATAGTCAACCTTCACTGGCAAATGTGCTCTACACTCCCAACAAAACAGCCATAAACAGGTCCTAGCTAAGCAGTGAAAAGGAAAAACAAAGCTCCCAGGACTTTACTTGTCAGGTAAAAATGAAGCAGAACATACTGCAAAGAGGATAAATAGCAAGCAAAAGAGGTCACCAACATAAAGATATTGATCTATAAGAGTTAAGTGGCTCGAGGACTATGTTGCAGGTGTAATCAAATATTCAAATCTAGAAATGAAATATATCTTTCCACTATCTAGACCAGTTATATTGTAAAGCAAAAGGCCCTTAACAGGACTTCACTGGAAAAACTGCATCTTATAAATCTCATACCCTTAACATTTTGTGTATCTCATAAATTGTTATCACATACAAGTGTCTTGAAAGATTTAAGTGAAGTGAAAAAAAAAAGACACAGACCACAAGAGCAGAGGAGAGAAGCTGATTATAAATCTGGCTATTAACATGAAATATTTATTTTCATTTTACAATCAGTATGTCGTAAAGCTTTCAAAGAGTTTTAAGAGAACCGCTGATTTGAAGCCTAAACAGCAGTCAAAAAAGGATTATGAATTAAAGTGGGCTCCACAATAAAGAGATGTTACTAGTTCAAAATCTGTACCCCTTTCAAAACTTGGACAAGTGATTTGGGTTGTAATCCTAATATGTAAAAAATATTTGAGAGTGAGGTATCAGCAGCCTACAGGAATACACACAAATTAATAGTTGTTCTGCATTTTTTTCTATTATAAGCATTTCATTTCACTTCCAAATGCAAAGTAGTGACACCAAAAAGCACTTGACAGGCTACAGCTAAAATTGAAACCAAGGTAAAATATGGAAGTTAAAATCAGACCGTTTCCATCAACAGAGACTCATACCCAATTCATCAGAGTTTATGTCAACCCACACAATTTATTAATCAAATACACACCTTTCATTATTTTCTCCAACAGATTTATTAAAAGAGCTTCCTACAGATGACAAGTGCGACAGTCCTAATTTCTCACTTGAACTTTAATCTCATCCAGACATGTCGCACAGACATAATAATACAGACTTCATTCAAAATAAGTTAAGGACCATCTTGACAGACAGCCCCGATTTTTTATTAACCCCCCAAAAGACAGCAAGGAATGTTTCAAATTGTTTTGCTGTGAAAGTGTTGATGGTTAACTGCAAAGCTGCCTCCTAAAGGGGCAAAACCACCAAGTGTAGAAGGAAATCCTCGAGGAATTTTAGCCAAATTTGCCGGGTTTTTTCGACTTGTGTGCGACACCACGGACATTCCTCAGTTAAAATTTTTGGTGTATCAAGCCACTGGATCAGTCCAAGAACGCCCACATGCAGGAAGACCACTCAGAGTGTTTGTAAGTGGTCCTTAACTTATGTTGAAGTCTGTATGTATATATCATACTTTGGAGCACAAGATATGGGTGGATATCGATGACAACCATTACTTGAGACATTCAATCAATGGCAAACAATATATTTAATCATTCAACACTGGGAAAGTGTACATAATATTTCAAGGATGAAGTGGCATTAATAACAGAACAAGTAAATGAGATGTCAGCTTTTTATGTTGAAATCTTTACAGCTAGTTAAGATCGTTCCGGGCAAAACTGCTGATGATCTTTTTTTACACCAACAGTAATGACACAATTATTTGAATTCAAATTTAAATGCTTCATACATTGTATTCATAAATATTACCCACAAAACTATTCCATTTCTATTTATGTTCCCACTGGTTTTTCTAAATGATAGATAATTTAAAAAAAACAAACAAGCAAGCCAAATTGTACACACAACTTTCTCTCAAAAACTGTTTTCTTTAAACTTATACTTTGTATCCCAATGCTACCTAATTCATAAAGTACCTGTTATTATGTATCTTATCTTATCTTATCTTATCTATAAATTCTTTACAAAAAAAATGTTCCAGTGATATAATTCCCAGCATTTTCAGGTTGTCTTATGCGATGTCATCACAAAATAGTTAATAAAATACTGCCCTTTCTTTGATAAAAACAAAATGTATCCTCTTTATTAAATTGACTCTTAACTGTGTTTGCTTGACATGATGGAATAGCATTAGTTAAAGGCTCCTCTCTGCACATCTGTACAGTGATGCCAGGACATCAAAAAGAGATCACCAACAGAATCCTCATCATGTTTAACAACTGAGCAAACAGAGAAACTGATAATAGCAACAAAAACTTTACAAATATATGCTTTGTTATGATGCGCCTGAACTGAAGCAACAATGAACAAAAGAACGTTTCTTGAGTAACAACAGAATGTCAAAGTGTGTTAAGCACATCATGTCACTGAACTGAGTCACAAACCTTGCTTTGAGACTTCTCCGCCCCCATGAACTGTGGCGCATGTTATGTGGACTCATTTATGCTAAGCATTTCCTTGTGTTCACTTGTGTTAATGACCATTTACTACATGAATTATGACCATTTACACAATGTTGACCAATTATGCTCTAGAAGTCATCAAGCACCTATTGCCTCCCTTCATGTTTCCCTTTTACTAGAACAATAAAAGCTCCACAGAAAGGAGAGTCATTAGAGTGAGAACACAACTTGTTACTGTATAGAATTTCACCTTCACTGTACTTTTAAAACTTTGGAGATGACCTGTGGGCTTACCACTGTCATTTTCCTGGAAGAGAGTCTGCGTTGTACAACAGCATATGTCAACTATACCAAGGCAGTAAGTCTTTATAGTCAAGATGAATCAACCAAAACCCATACCTAAATATTATCATAAATGACATTTGTATACTTCCCTTTAGATTGAAAAGAAAAGAGGCAACATCAGAAAGCATTACTGGCTGCCATAAAATACACAATTGTACAATGCAAGAGTTTATCTTTTAACTAAAAGAAGCCAGCACTGCAAACAGGAATAATATCCAATGTTCTCCCACTGGTGCAACTATAAACATTAGCTACATCTGGCATTAAAAACATTTGATTAAATTCTATTCAAAATCAAGCTCAATGACAGAAAAGAAGAGACTTGTAGAAATGAATGGAGCCATAAAAATGTTCTGAGTTCTGTAAATCAAAAGAAAACAATGTAAAATCTAGTTCAGGATTGGTAACACAGACAGATTAGCTTATGCCGAGATGGTAAATTTAACTGATGAAACATTGTGTTAGGCCATCATAGCAGACCACCATGACAAACATATGGTGCTTTGAGGTTGCACAAAGGCAGCTGATTATACTATCACCCCCCTTCAAACATTTCTGCTGACAGCCTTAGCAAGGGAGATACACTGCTCTCCCAAAAACCAGACAATTGACCGTTTGGTTCAGGGAGGGGGCTTCTGTTGTGAGCATTGAGAACATCATCTCATTATAAGAAATACTACACAGCAGTGCCATCTCGAGAACTACTCTCTGGCACTCCCCCAGACTGGGTTGACGAAAGGGTTAATAAATAATCACTGTTCAACTCTGAAGGCATGAAGTCCTTTTCACTCTCCGAAAATGGATTTTTCAAAGAAGGACAGGAAGGGGAGTCCATTTTTCCCTGACCATCAGAGTCCAGCATACTGTTCAAAGGTAACTCAGAGGTAGTCGACACAGGACTACACGGCTTGCCCGCCACCAGGTGAGTCAAAGGCACGACAGATGACATCTTGCTCTCAGGAGCAGTCAGAATAGAACTTTTCATCTCCTCCTCCACTTCTCCCAACTTTTTTCCTGTGTGGCTGTTATAGGAAGGGAAGAGAGACTGCTCCGACAGTTTATGCTCATCCAAACAGGAGAGCTTAGGCTTCAACGGTTCTCCAGTGCTCGATGTTGTGTAGCGCTCACCTTCACTGCCCTCTGTACCAACAACGCCCACAATGTCAGAAACAACAGAACCGAGAGTCACTTCATTTTTACTGACAGGTATACAGTTAACATCTGATGAAGCAATTCCTGTGCTTTCACTTATCGTATCACATTTTTCAAGCTCATAATATCTGTTTTCTTTATCCTGACTGGCAAACTCTCCTGAGGGCAGTTCTTCTGCCTGGCCAGTATTAATTTCTTGAGAAGAGGGTGGGGAGATGTCTTTACTGTTTCCAGAACTTTCACCACTCATCGTAGAAGCCATGCTGACACTTTCACTGCTCATGGCACCCTGCTCTGGCTGAAGAAGCACAGGACTAGCATCAGAAGAAGTGGCAGTAGCAACGGGAGTATCCTCACTACTGCTCTCCTGTTGAGGATCTGGAGCACCCCCTCCTTCCCGAGAGGGCCTTCGTCTGTTACTTTGAAGACGCCTAAAAAGCCTGTAGATGTTGCTCTGTGTGTAAACAGTGACTCGCTCAATCTCATAACCCCTCCCCCTTTCTGCCTCTGGGGTTTGCCTCGCCCCACCACCTTGAGCAGGTGGACCTTCACCATGAACTGGATCTGCGTTATTTCTGTTCCCATTTCGAGCAGCAGAAGGCTGAGCTGGAGGGTCCAGGTAGTTCTGGAGGAACCTGGAGCGTCTCAAGATGTTGAACAGGTCAGTGAGGCTGGCTGTCGCATCCCTCGGGTTGAGCTGGATGTTATTCAGCCTCAGCACCTCCCTAGTTGCATCCGCAGCACTGGCAGTAGCACCAGCACCTCCTCCACGATTGTTGCTCCTGTTCCTCACACCACCACCAGAAGCATCATCCCCATTTCTAGGGGAGAAACCACCATCCCCACCGGGCAGATCTGCTCCACCATCAACTTCCTCCACCCCGGCATTTCCAGATGCACCAGGTGCCGAAGCCCCTTCAGCATCGTTACCACCTCCATGCCTGTTTGCATTATCATCAGGGATTGGATCCACAGGGCTCCCTTCGTCATCTGGGTTGTTGGGTGGAGCGTCCTGCGGTGGGTCGTCAGCATTACCTCCTGCCTGTGCCGGGTTCACCAGCAGCTCCTGGATGCGCACCTGCTGCAAAATGGCCGGTAGCTCGTAGTGGTGGAAGAAATAGACCATCGAGTGCTGGAGAAAAAGAGAAGAAATGAAAAAAAAACCCACTATGTTTGTACGTCAAGTCATCAGGCCATTCATCTTGTCAAAGCACAAGGACAAAATTATGGTCAAGTACCACAGGCAAAAATCAAGGTAACAGTCTGAGTTAATCAGATGCACACCAACATAACTCTAAGCTATAGCTAGGAAAAATCAAGAGAGACACTAATACGATAATGGCTGCATTTCTCCTAAAACAGATTTAAGTTCCATGGCAGTGATAAATTTCATGAAAGGCACACTAAGCCAGATGCTATAAGAGATAAAAGATCAAACTTTGCAGGCAGCTCGTATTACATTAAGATGCTGGCATTGATCACTTTTTGGGTACATTTATATAACTGGAAGGCATCTTCTTTAAAGTCTGACATTTTATACAAGCCTTAATTTGGCTCGTTTCGATCAATATGGAATGCTGAAATTAAGGGAGAACTTCACCCACAATGAACGCTGAGGCCCCCAAACTTCCAGTAATCAGACCCGAATGAAAATGCTTTCAGTGCATGAGTTGGAGAAGAAAGACAGACAGGGGTAACAGAAGGAAAGAAAGAAGTGCGACATACAGTGCGACATACAAATTACACCCTCCAACCTAAACTCACAGGACACAATGGCACTTGGCTTGTTAGCTGTGGTATTTTCCTTTGATAAAAGTATTATGAGGAAACGGTACAAATAATTCCTTGTAACTGTATGGACAACAGCAACATCAAATGAGAGAAGCAAACACCAGAGCGTTCACTGACCACCCCCACCCTGCACAAAGTATTCAAATTTTTAAAAGTTACAGAAACATGACATTGAATAGCATGAAAACTCTTCACACTCCCCAGGTCGAAATCAAGTCTTAAATAGTTCTAACCTGAATAAACAGCCAAGAGGTGAACAGTGCCAGAGAGCTGTATTGGCCATTGAAGCGGTAGTGGTAAGCATAGAAGGCAAAATGATACAAGTAGAAGAACCTGAAATAGAAAAAAAAAAGAAATTATAATTATCATTTCAAGGTGAGAGGACCTTACTATTATATCAAAACAGAAAAAATGAACTCTTCAGGCAAAGCCAAAGAGTGACTACCTCCTACCCTGTGTTCATCTCGCTATGAATACAATATTTAACAAAACATTTTGATTATTTGGCACATAATAAAAGTAATAATAAATTGCAAGTAATCAGTTCACATCCTTGCTTAAAAGTAGGCACTATGTGCAATTTATTACCCTGACAGACTCTACAACATGCCGAAACATTCTCAGCTCTCTGAGAAACTTTCAGTGCAAGTTGTCGTTTTATTGGCACTCAAATATTCATTCACTGAAATGATTTTTCACAATCTTTTCCCCATACCCTTATAAACCTGGGTGAAGAGAGAAAAATATGTGTAAATCTCTTTCCAAATGACACAATAACAAGACCTGGACCGGGATTTGAACCCACCAGTGTAACCGCCAGACTACAGATGCAAAACTGAGCAATACGTGCACCACATTCACTTTCCAGAACAAGGTCAGCATACTGCCACATAATTGTCATGATAAAAACTTAAGTGTCTCAAGACATGGCAAACACACCATAATCAGAACACAAAAATTAAGCAAATTTAAAAAAAATAATGTAAAGTTTTATTTGCCTGCACCGTCATCTGCTTTACACCTAAGGTCAAAACTTTACTCGCCTGAGCCATATCCTCTTGCTGATGTTTGTGTGGCAACAAATCGCATCGTACTGATCAGCTATCCACACAATCAGAATGATGTAGAATGCTGTGGTGGTGTCATTGAAAAACTCTGACATAATCGCCTCCATACCTGACACAGAAAAAGAGAAAGTGAGAAATCAAATTCCGAAAGGTAAACCTTGATGCCTTTTATTTAGAGCAGAGCTGTAAACCAGTGAAGCAGGTTTGTCAATTTTTTCAAAACCCAATAAGGGAGAACCAACACTGCTTCATTTAATTACATAACAACCGGCAAAATTGCATCAGGTGGGTCTGGTTTTGTTGTAGTGTACGTGATATATATAGCCAGTCAAAGTGGTGGAGGTTAATTTGTCATATTATAGACCTGCATGTGAGCCTCAACCAGATTGTCTGAAAATTTTGCGCAC